ATTAGACACTGTCGTGACGTCACTGATCCTGCCTATGGGTGTAAGTGTTCTGTCACTGATTAAGAGAACTAGCTAAAGTGCTGTGTTATTTCGAAAATTTTTAAGTTATCATTACGATTATTGAGTTTTATTCCGAATTTTATTGAAAAGGTATCATGTGAGACGAATTCGTAAAAGCAGAAAGTACTAGTATACGAAGGATAAATAAATTGAGGGTAGCAAAATGTTTTGCTTGCAAACCGAATTTTTGTTCTGCTGAGTTGAGAAATGTTCAAACATCAATTTAAGTACCTATTACCAACTTTTGTTTGTACAAAAAGACAATAACAGGTCAGAGTGTATTTTGATAAAACGGAGTATAATAGCTATCGTAGTTTAGTTTATCTATAATTAAAATCATTAGCAATCATTAGTTACAATATCAAAGTTAACCCTTCATTTCATTATGGTTTGTTTTGTATAAATGATAGTTAAATATAAGTCATATTACATCAACATAATCTTCACAGAGGAATAGTCTAGTTTTTGTGGACAATGTATTCGGGTATCTTCTTGCCAGTTTTAACCAAGTATTTCTTTTATTTAAATCAGTTGGCACTGGAATCCATAACTTTCCTGGCGTTCTTATGCTCTTATTTTTGAATACAAGCACAACACAACAATGTTATAGATGATAACACTTTCTTAAACATTAAAATGTATCTTATTCCTTTACAAAATCGGCAAAATCGAGGATAGTGACAATGAAATGAAAAAAATTAAAATGATCAAAACTAAAAATTTTAAAAAACATTATCAGTTTTCACTCTCGGATCAGTTTAAACACTTTTAAAACGGGTGTAATACCCTATTGCTGCCCGTTAGTCTCGCCAAAACTCGAAAACGGCTCGAACTATTAAGGAAATGTTTTGTGTGCGTTTGAGTGGGTCTCTGGATAGATTAGCTTTTAGATTTACAATTGGTGGCGCTGTTGTCGACATCCAAAAATCATCCGTACGAAGCCGGTGCGGATCGCTTGTGAACTATAATATACACTTATGAACAAATTTAGAGGAACGTAAAAAGAATGTGTATTTTTTTAACTATTCTAAGCCAGCACTTAGCTACAATCCCACCTGATGGTAAGTAATTAATAATTTTTTACTACGTAATTGTCACAGGTATATTAACACAATGATAAATATGTAGTATAATACATTAAGTATTCTCGCCATAATTGAAAGCGATGAGGTCGTTCCTACGAGGTACTACTTTGGGTAATTATAAACTTTAGCTGGCAACATGATTTTGAGATTATAGAGTATGGAGTGTAGAAGTTAGGAGCACCAACTCCCATAGTAGAATAGTTGAAAAAGTGGCCATCTGTAAGCAGTAAATAACAGTTCAAAAACTGTCAAAATCTCTCCACAACAGCGCTGGAGTAGCTCCTGGGATAAAAAGAAATTAGCAGTTGTCGACGGTTTGAAGTGTGCTGCTAAACTGCTTGGTAGCTCTAAAATCTAAAATAATTTTATTTAGTAAATATAACCCCAAAAAAGTCGTCTATCCCACTAATATTTTTCGGCACGTTTTTTTTAAATTAAGCCCGTAGCTATAGTGGCGCCACCCTTATTTAACGGTTTTCTATGGACATTTTTTAATACACAGTCTGTACTCCTTACTTCATCTGTACTCAACACTCCATATTATAGAGGAAGCTCAAAGTAGGCGGGGCAGGCTGTTGCAATTACGGACAGTAGAGCGTAATTGACTGTCAGACTTACGCTTCGCATCGTAGACAGAGAAACCTATAGATAAATTGATGCCTTCTTTCGCATTCGCACACGAAAAAGATAGATTTATGCATACGTCTTTCATAGAAATGAGACAGAACGGTGTAATTGTCCCTTTCTCCGTGCCGGTTTTTTATTTAGCAAACTACACTTTGCTCAACAACTTTCACAGTTCGTAGCGATCTAAGGAGTTTACAAGTTGGTTTAAGTGAGAAAAAAGTGTTTTGTGAGCTTAATATTGGTGGAATCTTGTTTAGTTCAGTTCTTAGAACAATTAAAATTTTTATCTAAATATGTTTAAAAGTCATAAAGATTATCTCGAGGCCACGCTAATTATTAGTCTATAGGTTTCTCTGTCTACGCTTCGCATACAGCATACAACTAATCCGTCAACGTCCGAAGTTTGCTCGGGACGACGGTGACGGCCGAACTCGGACGATCGAATCAAACACTTGTAAAACAAAGAGAGTGTGTACACAACCGTCACGACCGTCATCGTCCGATAACGCACGAAAACGGCCGATCAACAGTCGAATCCGAACTTGTTGGGATTTCTCGTCGGCTGCCGGCGTCTACATTGCAAATTGAGTGTATTTATAGTTTAATTTAATCATTTTGTATTTATTCTGTTGTTTCTTTCAGTGTTGTTATCTAGCTAAATGACTATGAATATTGAAAATCGAAAAATATAAAAGAACACTGGCAACGTCCAATGTCGGCCCAAGTGGTACACTGTTGCAGTGTAAGCACATACACATCCGAGTTACTCGTTCGGGTAGCTCTGTCCGCCATCTGCCGACAAAATCGGTTTTCGTGTAAACGTAACGTTAGGCTCCGATAGGAGTAATAGTGTTCTGTGGTCTTAGGCTCAAATTGTTGCAAGCTAACGTATCACTGTTTAAGTATGATGTGTAAAAATATGCCGTTTTGAACAATACTGGAGTATAAACACGCGTGTTAAAAGAAAAATAATTCGAAAAGTGAAATATGGAGAAAATATCAAATTGCGAAGAATAAAAATATCAAAATGCGAATTATAAAAAATTAAACCTTATGTCATTGGTTTAAGGTTCATCTGTTTGAATAAAAATTACTATGATAGTGTTGTGACTACGCCGATAATAAAGTACTCGATACAATTTTATCACAATCTTGTTTATCCACTAACATAATAATGATAATGTGAAAGTACTGGATGTCTATGAAAATATACAAAATTATCTGCTCTTCCCTCGGACCTCCGTAACGAACAGTTGTGTCTCCGGAGCTATTTTAAATTCAAAAAGCCTCGCCCACCATGCTTTAGCGGCAAGTACAGCCTCATTACCGACGATCTCGGATGATGCATCCCATGGGACGTCATAGTAGTGCGGACTTTTCTATCCAGGGCGTTAAGTTCAATCTGAGTCCACCTGAATATGCCAAAGGCATACATGAGGACAGGCATGACCCAACCGTTATATGCGTGTGTCTTATTCACAACAGACACAAGGCTGTTGAGCACTTTGGTCAAGCGTGCATAAAACTGACTGTTTCATACCAGCCTCATCGATGCCGATGTTCTGTGACACACCCAGGTATCGGTATGTTTTAGCCTCGGAAAGGGTCCTTAAACTAATGGGCATAGATAAGTCTATGCCCTCAGAGTTAGCAACGCTTCCCCTTTCAACATGGAGGACCGCACACTTATCCGTCCCCAGCTCCATTCCAATAGAATTGCTAAATTCACAAGTGATGTTTAGCAATTCCACAAGAAGGGAGCGACTGGAGGCGAATAACTTGAGGTCATCCATATAGAAAAGGTGGGTCACTTTTGTCCCTCCCTCCCGTAGCTGAAATCCTCTCCCGGAGCCCTCCAGTAAGGTACTGAGGGGGTTCAGAGAGAGGCAGAGCCAGATTGGACTCAGACAATCGCCCTGGAAGATACCCCTTCTTATCCTTATGTGGCTTTCCGCAGCCATCATCCGCCTGCCTAGATGACAAAGGATCGTACTCCACTGCCCCATACATTGCTAGAGGAAGTCTCTAACTGTAAAGTCAATCTTGTACAGCTCGAGGACCATCTTTAGCCATGTATGGGGCACCGAGTCGAATGCCTTTTTGTAGTCTACCCAGGCAATGGAGAAGTTTCGAAGGTTGCGTTTCACCACTTTGCCAATGACCGCATCAATTAGAAGTGGTTCCTTGGTTCCACGGCCACCGCCCCGACATCCATTTTGAGCGCGTGACATCACCTAATTTAGCTCTAGGTGATGAGTGATTCTCGCGCTCAAAATGGATGTCAGTGTCTTATATATGGTGGGTAGACACATGATAGGACAGTATTTGCGCGGATCTATGGTATCCTTATCTTTAGGAACGAAATGAGTGATCCCAGTAGTGGAAAGGCTCGGGAGCGACTTCGGGTTGAGAGCCTCTTGGAACTGTCGGGCGAGCACAATGTGACACACCACAAACCCCTTCAGCCAGTAGTGATGCAGCCCGTCGAGTCCCGGAATTTTCCAGTTCGGGGCCCTACGGACCGCCTCAGCTACGTCATCCGGCGTTATAATGACGGGGTCCATGGGCGTTATACTCGCACACTGACTCGCCACAACTTCCGTCCAAGGGCCCTCGCTGTGGTTTACGGGCTCTGACCACAGGCCGCGCCAGAATGTTACAGTGTCGGCCTGATTCGGTGCTGGGCCCGTTCCACTTACCATTGGTCGCTCCAATGATTCATAGAGCCTCTTCTGATCACTCAGGAAGAGACGATTCTGATTGAACCGAGTCAAACTCTTGGTATATCGCCGAATCCGCTTTCCCCAAGCAGCGATTCTCTGCTTCAGATCATTTATGCGCTCCGTCAGTTTTTGCATTATATCCGGCTGGGACAAACTGATATTTGTCCCAGCAAACGCCATCCTGACGGTGCGCCAATTCTTGGCCTGTTATTGCCTGATCTGAAGCATATCTGAAGCATATAAGATGAGAGCTAGCTTTTGCGATACGCTCCTCAATTCTTCTTCTCCATGCTGGGATAGCGCTACTTTGGCCAGTAGCGCGTCCAGCCGTGAAAACCTTGGCGCCTATGATACGGTAGACTGCCAGCGCGGCGCCAAAAAGAATTGAGTGCGTATCGCAAAGGTCCCAGCTGGCTTCCGAATAGGCCACCAGCATTGGGTTCAGAGCCCGACACGACAGCCCGATTCCGCTTGCTTAGGGCTATGCGAGGAAGTCGCGTTATTATTATTCACACTTCTGCTTGAGAGCCTCTTGGAACGGTCGGGCGAGCACAGCGTGACACCCTACGAACCCCTTCAGCCAGTAATGACACAGCCCGTCGAGCCCCGGTATTTTCCAGTTCGGGGCCCTACGGACTGCCTCAGCCACGTCTTCTGGCGTTATGGTGACGGGGTCTATAGGCGTAACACTCGCACTCTGGCTCACCACAACTTCCATCCAAGGGCCCTCGTTGTGGTTTACGGGCTCTGACCACGGGCCACGCCAAAATGCGACAGTATCAGCCTGCTCCGGTCCTGGGCCCGCTCCACATACCTCTGGTCGCTCTAATGATTTATAGAGCCTCTTCTGATCACTCTGGAAGAGACGATTCTGGTTGAACCGCCTTGACCTTTCGCTAAATCGTCGTATCCGCTTCCCCCAAGCAGCGATTTTTTGCTTCGGATTATCTATACGCTCCGTTAGTTTTTGCGTGATATCCGGCTGGGACAAACTAATATTTGTCCCAGCAAACGCCATTCTAACGGTGCGCACAACTCTCGGTCTATTATTACCCGACCTGAAGCTTGTCAGTCTGCCGATAAGGGCTCTTGGCTTTGTGATACGGTCCTCAATTCTCTTTTTCCGGGATGGGATGGTGCTACTTTGTCGAGTAGCACTTCCAGCCATGGGAAGTTTGGCGCCAATAATACGGCATACTGCCAATGCGGCGCCAAAAAGAATTGAGTCCGTTTCGCAAAGGTCGCGGCTGGCTTCCAAATAGGTCACCAGCATTGGGTTAAGAGCCCGCACGACAGCCCGATTTCGCTTGCTAAGGGGTATGCGGGGGAAGTCACGGTCGATTTTGGAGAGGCATGCTGCGCGTTTCCAGCATCGACTCTTCCAATATGCTCCTCATTTTCTCTAGTTCGTGGGGGACTATTCCATCATCGTCTGAATCAACCACAAATGGAATATTGACGGCAGCATCCACATATGCAGTTTGCTGCGCAATTAGTGGCGCCGCATTCCCAGCCGTAGCATTTTCATCCGATGAGGGAACAGCATCACGTCGTAGTCGTCCAAGTTTGGCGTCACCAAATATGTTGGAGCGCAGGATGTATCGAACTCGGTCTGCCAGGTTTTGCTCAGTGACGGATAGAGATGGCTTCAGCTCTGCAAACAAGCGATGCATCCGAGTCCAATATGCTGAACATCCAGTTTCTTCCCCTTTTTGCCCTAAAGTACACCCGCAGTGCGTTTGCGTTTATTGTTTGTGACCAATGCATGCGACGTGCTCCACCAGCGGCGGGTGCCGCTTGCTGAGTCCGAGAAGACTCAGCCGACACCAAGCCCTCTGGTGGGGATGATGGATGCGGGGGGCTGCTAGGTGGTCTTGCAGCACCCCACGCTGAGCTGGCGGCCCGCATGCTATCGCGTCCAGCGCCAGCTCCAGACGCGCCCTGGCGACCTCCAGGCAGCGGCCCTTTGCGCACTATCTTTCTATCCATCATCCATGATTTGGGCGTCCATTAACGGGAGACACCCAGGCCCGGCACGGTATCGTGTGCGGCCATAAGCACAAACGGGCCTTTGCACCTTAAATTCTGCCGAGGCAAGGCACTCACACCTCTCGCAAGGCGCTGACTGACTGCGTTGACGTAGGGGTCGTCAATTCCCTACGCCTTTATTATTATTATTTTGGGGTATTAGTAGTGTATTCTCATCTGGTTGGGCCACGTTGAGACACGTGATGGGGCGATATTCGCTCGGGTCTGTGGTGTCCTGTTCTTTAGGAACCAAATGACTGATATCAGTAGTGAAGAGGCTCGGGAGCGACTTCTGGTTGAGAGCCTCTTGGAACTGTCGGGCGAGCACAGTGTGACACACTACAAACCTCTTCAGCCAGTAGTGATGCAGCCCGTCGAGTCCCGGACTTTTCCTACCTACGGACCGCCTCAGTTACGTCATCGGCGTTATAATGACGGGGTCCATGGGCGTTATACTCGCACACTGACTCGCCACAACTTCCGTCCAAGAGCCCTCGCTGTGGTTTACGGGCTCCGACAACATGCCGCGCCAGAATGTTACAGTGTCGGCCTGATTCGGTGCTGGGCCCGTTCCACTTGCCTTAGGTCGCTCCAATGATTCATCAGCATATCAGTCTGCCGATGAGAGCTCTAACCTTGGCGATACGCTCCTCAATTCTTATTCTACATGCTGGGATAGTGCTACTTTGGCCAGTAGTATGACCAAAGTAGCGCTATCCCACTACTAGCGCTACTTTGGTCATACTACTGGTGTGACCAAATATGTCATACCAGTAGTATGACCAAAGTACTACTGGTACTTCGGTTATACTACTGGTATGGGACTTGGTCATACCATATATATATATATATATATATATATACACATATATATATATATATATATATATATATATATATACACATATATATATTCCCGACGTTTATGGTCACGGGGGACTGAGATGGCTGACCGTCCCGATGTCAGTGTTAACCCGGAGTACCTTCAGCTTTTTATTTGTTATTTATGGTCCGATCTACGCAGAATGAACCGAACTTACTTTGTCTTGAAGTCTTGTAGTGATATGCTTGGGATTAGTTTTAATTTTATTGATTACAGGATCCCAAGCAGGTGGTATTACCCACTTCTCTATTGAAATTAGGATTTTTTTTTCGAATTTCAATAGCATCACGTATCAATCCTTGGTAGAAATCGATGTTCTTTTGCGAGGATTTGTGGTCTATCAGACGTTATGTAATGGTTGGGGCCGCCTAGATATGATTACAAACTGCTGACCGTGGGTGCTGGAAAGCACCCGAAACGTCGGTAATTAAAAATTATACATATATATTAAAAGCGATAAAGTCCGTAAAAGTAATTTTAATCAATATTATTCCTGACTTTTGGAAAGTAGCTGAAATAAAATGATCTTAATATCATGATCTATATTGGTATCCGAATTCACTTTAAAATTGATAGAAGTTACGTAGGTAGAGTAACTTCGTCACTAACATCATTCACGTAGCGGTATATGTATTTAATTTTTACCTATAATATAGTGAATTTATTATTGTGACACCTAGTGTCACATAGTAATTTTTTTGTCAATCCTGGAAGCTTCTTGGAATAAGACATAATGATATCTATGAATAAGAATTTATGGTGAGTTTTCAAATAATCGCGGTATTACTGCGACTTCTAACGTTAAGAAGCTAAATTTGCTAATTAATTTTAGAAACTTTCTTGATGAGAAGGAAATGTGATCTCTATTGATATTGACGCGATAGTGGTTCTAGTACAAATTATTCATTTTGCTACTTCCCCTCGTTTTTTATATTCCGTGATAATTACGTCAATAAATGATAGTAAAAGAAAAAATGACCGTAAACATCAGTTTAATTAATACTACCATTTAAATCATGATTCAGAAAGTTATTTAAATACATATTCATGATATAAGTTTACTTACACGTGAAATGTAATGCCTTAAAATTTTCGTTCACTGCGGCTTTTACAGCCTATGCATGATACCACTATAAGATATAAAATCGAATAATTTTCTAGCTTAAAACGTACACTAACGTACAATAAGTAAACGTACAATAAGTATCAACAATAAAAAAATTATTTGCAAATAATCGGTGCAAACGATTGCAGATTGCAATCCAAGAAATACCGGGGATTTCGTCACAGGGTTAATTTTTATTAAAAAAAAAGAAAATGGAAATATCGATATTTTCCAGTGATAGTGATGACAGTAATTTGGAGGTGATGGTTCATTTTAGGGATGTTACGGATATGATATTTCGGATATGGATACGGATACGGATATGGGAATAATATTATATCGGTTTCGGTTTCGGTTACGGATATAAAATTATTTCGGATTATCCGTTAGTTTCGGATCGGATAAGATTTTTGAGGTATTTAAGTAAAATACAAATAAGTAGGTAATCATTTGGCTTTATATCTTGGTTATCATTTGGTATTACAATCAGTCATTTATTCAAGTAATTAACAATTTTATAAGAATAGTATACTAATTAATGTAGCTACCTACATATTTTTAAGTTATCTACTTAAAAATGCTATTACAAAATTATTATAATCAAAAACAATGCTATTAGTTTTTTTTTCTATTATATTCTTCAATATATTTCTAGGAACTATTACAACGCATAAATCAGTCTTCTTAAGTCTTTGCATATTGAAGAATAAAAACTAAAATCTGAACATAACATAACAAAATATTTACTTGTCTTTCACTTAATGATTTCTTTTAATAGTCGAAACTAAGCAAAGGTAAATTATACTTAACAAAAAGCAATTTCGCAGCCTTATCACCAGAAAGTCGATTTCTTAAGGGGTCATAAATTAACCCAGCTGCACTGAAAAGCTGCTCACTTGGTACACTTCCAGGAGGTGGAGAAAGGTACTGTCTTACTAAATCACTTAAGCAATGGTACTTGGTATGCATTTTCCACCATAAAAGTGGATCTTCATTGAGTGTCAATCGTTTCTCCCTGTTGTATTCATTTAGTAATGTCTTTTTAACAATAAATTGATTGTGCACATCATCACCACAATCTATGTTTTGCTCTTCCTCGTCACTTAAGCTTAATATTTCAGCTAGACAAGATTGAATGTGTGAATAGTTGCTTGAGCTTGTTGTCGGAATCTCATTCCGTGATCTCTTAGGTGAAGAAGGACCTTCATCACGAGAAGCTTTTGAACACCCAAGAATCCCCAGAATCTCAGACTGTACCTGTTCCTTCGTAATTTCAGTAAAAAACTTGAGTTTAAACCGTGGATCTAGATAAGTAGCTATTGTATATATTTTATTATTTTCAATATCCTGAAATCTGACATTGATGTCTTGGATCATTTTCGTAATCATTAATTTGAAGTTCTCAGAAGTCTCTTCTTTACTCTTCTCTGTTTCTAGTGTGTTTTTAAGAGTATATATTAATGGAATCACTGATGCTATTGTTGCAGTAGCACTACTTAACTCCTTTGTAATTTCTTCGAACGGCTTTAGTATTGCAACACACTTTTTCAAGTCGAGCCATTCATCAGCATTAAGAATTGGTATATCATGCGCGCCCGAATACAGTACTAAGGAGTCTTTTAATGTCAATATTCTTTTCATCATATAATACGTCGCGTTCCATCTGTGAAAAAAGAAAAAACAATGTCAAATCAAATAAAAAAAAATTACATAATAGATAGGTGTATAAAATAGAATAAAAAAATCTCACCGTGTGGAACATTCCTGAATTATACTTAGTCCTGATTGGTTCAGTCTTTCTGTTTGAATTTGTTTCAATTCATTTTGCGCGATTAGGGAGTGATTGAAGTGAGTTGCAATTTTCTTGCACTTCGTAATTACTGACGAGAGAAATTCTTCGATTTCCATCGTTGATCGCACACATAATTGTAGTTGATGAATAGTACAGTTTGCATCAGTGAAATTGGCCATATTCATAGCTTTTATCATATTAGATCCTCTGTCGCGTAAAATACAATGAACTGATTCCGTGCTTAAGCCCCAATCTTTCAAAATATTGTTTAAATTATTTGCTATAATTTCACCTGTGTGCCGACCCTCTAATTGTTCACACTTGAGTATTATAGAAACTCTTTCATATTTATTGGTGATGCCATGAGCAGTAAGACTAAGTAACGATACATTTGAGCTGGGCTCTGACCACACATCTGTAGTAAATGACAACTTTTCAAATTGCTTAAGTAATCCCAGCACCTTTAATTTAATTTTATTGTATATATCAGTACACAGCAAATTAGTAAAATACTGCCGACCTCTTAGATGATAGCGTGGTAATGCTGCCTGCATTAATCTTTGGAAGCCGACACCTTCCACAAAGTTAAATGACAAGTTTTGTAATGCAATCATTTCAGCTACTAATTTATCAATTTCTTTTTGCTTGACATTACTTTCATCCCAGGCGCCTTTATTTTTTAAAGAATCTGTTATTGACAGCTGTTTTTTACACTCTTGTAATGGTGTCAGCTGTTTCGTGGTATGTGGTATTTGTTGGATATCTTTTTCTAGTAACAAAAGTTCTTCGTACTTATCACCGTGTTTTGATTTAAGATGAAGTTTAAGCGAAGTAGTGCCACCTCCTTTTCGTGAAAAGGTTTTAT